GACTTTGGCTTGCCTTCTAATATCCTGGTTCCTAGCATAAGACACATTTAGAAGATGCCACGGAAGCTATTTTGAAAAATAAGACACATTTAGAAGAATTATTTTTGAACTTCGGCAGAAGAGAAGAAAGATGACCAACGAGTGGAGAAAACAGTGACGCAATAATTGAAAGGCGTGTCTTGGAGGCACTTCAACCAGATTGCAACCTTAATCGCCTCACTATCAGAAACTATTGTGGCAATGGCTTTCCAGATTGGCTTGGGGATTCTCATTTTTCCAATTTAGTGTCTATGAAACTGGTTGGATGCCGATTCTGTTCAAGCTTGCCACCACTTGGGCAGCTCTCCTCCCTCAAGCAGCTTTCTATTTCTGGCTTTGATGAAATAGAGATAATTGGTAGAGAGTTTTACGACAATAATTCATCAAATGTTCCATTCAAGTCCCTTGAATCTTTACGAATTGAGTATATGCGGAAATGGAAGGAATGGTTCTGTCCGGATGATGGTGAAGGTTTCCCCCTTCTTAAAGAGCTTTCCATTAAAAGATGTCCGAAGTTGAAAAGTGGGTTGCCTCAACACCTTCCTTATTTGAAAAAACTGGAGATTAGTTATTGCCAAGAGCTTGAGGCTTCACTTCCCAAGGCTCCTAAGATTGTGGAGTTACAGCTAGAAAGTTGTGAAAACATTTTGTTAAATGAATTGCCATCCACCTTGAAAAAAGCCTTCATTGGTGGAACTCGAGTCATTGAGTCTTACCTGGAGCAAGTTCTATTGAATAATGCCTCTCTTGAAAAGTTGAAGGTCACAGACTTCAATGGTCCAAATCTAAAATGCTCCTCTTTGGATTTGCATTGCTGTAATTCTCTTCGCAAACTAGAGATAGAGTATTGGCACTCCTCCTGTTGGCCTTTCTCACTAAACTTGTTCACCAATCTTCATTCCCTGACTTTGTATTATTGTCCACAGCTGGAATCATTTCCTGGGGAATGTTTGCCTTTGAGCCTGAGCAGCCTCGAAATACGGAGTTGCCCCAAACTGATTGCTTCGAGAGAGGAGTGGGGTTTGTCCAAACTTCATTCTCTGAAACAATTCACAGTTGGTGATGACTTTGAAAATGAGGAGTCCTTCCCGGAGGAGAATCTGCTGCCACCCAATATTGACCTTCTCTGCATGCAGTCTTGTTCAAAGCTAAGAATAATTAACAAAAGGGGTCTTCTCCACCTCAAATCTCTCAAATCCTTAAATATTTGGTTTTGCCCTTGTGTTGAGTACTTGCCAGAGGACGGTCTACCCAACTCCCTTTCCACTTTGCTGATTCGTGATTGTCCATTACTTAAGCAGCGGTACCAAAAGGAGGAAGGAGGAGAGCGTTGGCATAAAATTAGTCACATCCCTTCTGTGTCTATTTGGTAGCGGCTGAAAGAGATGTTACTAAATGCACAGGTGCACCACATTTCTCCATCTGCTAATGTTCAGTGGTGCTTTACCTGTCAAACCATCTGTATATTTTGTTAAATAGAAATGGGATAAGATTCTATATTTCTCATGTTGGAATAGTGTCTTGTGTTTGTGACTTTTCCTCACACAAGATTTTTGTCATACTGCTTTGACTGTGACACTTTTTTGGAAATATGTGTATAGCTCATATTTATTTTGCTAAAATCTGAGTTTTACAAACACTCCGTGGTGGAACGGAGATGAAACTTTCGGATGATAATAAAAAAGTCCTAGTTATATTGTTTTTAATATAGTAACAACTTGTCAAAGGAGTAGTCGATTAATTTAGTTTATAATTACTTCAATATTCATTCATTAAATATAAATTTTCTAATGGGATAAGTTATGCATTGAATTTATTCCCACTTATAATTATTAAATAATCGGAATGTTATTTATGCAATTTGCGTTACAAATATCGATTTTGAACTGTCATTTTCCTTTAGGTCTTGTACTCATGCGTGAATGATTATAGGATACATATCTTTAGCATTTTACATAACATGGATCATATCATCTTTTCGCTAGCCTACTTTCCTAGTGGTTTTAGTGGTTGATATTGTTGTTGTTCTTTACCACCCAATACATCTGCATTGCAAAATTCTATTGGCTTTTGGTTTGATGTATATTCTTAACGTTATCAAAGTTAACATAATACACTAAGATCAAGTTATCAGATACATTCTGGCATGAGATACCTACCTAGCTAACATGTGATCCTACATGATAACAGATATATAAGGCTATAATTGGTTTCTTGGAACTTAATTATGCTTACTCCTTTCATAAACGTAGAGAATGACATATATATAGACCCCAGAAAAAAAAAAAGAGCATGGAACCATAGGTGCTTATTAATGTTTTCCTTTCAGTCTTCATTCTTCTGAACAACTGTTTCTTCAAATTATAGAAATTGTTCTCCATGCCCCTATGAATGCAATTTGTCTATACTCTATGAATGTAAGTATTGGTCTAAAATATAATATTGTGCTGTGTGTTGTTGTAATTTCCACCAAATGCATTACTGCACAAAGGAAAAAAAAGCATTTTTATATTCTATGTTCAATTCATTTGGCTGCACCTAACTGTGTGCTCTTCATACAGCGATCGTTGAATCTCAAGGTTGATGGATATTGGGGACTTTCAGACGCATGCATGTTGTGGATTTTGGACTAGCCAAGTTCTTGCATCACCCTGGACCTTCTCAGTCAATGTCTCTTTATTTGGCTCCTATGCCTATGTTTTCCTCCTTGTTTCATTTCTTCCTCCTTTCATTTACTTAAACTACCACCTCATCTTTTCTATTTTTTTTACTTTTTTCTTTTGTACTCTATGCTGTTTGTTTAAGATATTGGAATTCGGAAGATGTCAGAAAATTGTTGAACTGAAAATCTAAGCGATTTAAGTTTAATGGAATGAATTTTTTTTTTTATGCTATATATTTTTCATTTATATATGATTTCGATGTTATTAATAATATATCTGGCTTTGATCATAGCTACATAAGAAATCCTTACTTTTATTGATGCTAAAAATTAAAATGGTTTGTTTGAGATATTAACTGATTACATGTTTAAAAAATACGATATCTTTTAATGTGAATGAATATCACCGTTAATGTATAAAAACTGCACAAGTTCTAAATGTTTATAAACCTTCTTTTTTAATTGCAAGTTCCATCTTTATACTGCTACCTTGACAAAGTTCATGTCAAAGTATGTTTTTTAATTACATAACAAAGTTCATCAATCTCTTACCATACTAAAAAATAACAAAATTCAACAATCCACTGACATTTGAGTGTCATGGACTACATTGTTATTGGATAGATGTTTGACAAATCATAAATGTTACGATTACATTTGTATATGTGGCGTTTGAATGTTTGGTGATGAACATGGCTAGTTAAAATCAAACAAACTCAATTGAAATTAAGAAGATTCAATTACAAAATTAATAAATCAAGAAAAGTAATAAATAAAAAAATTAATCAAAATATTCAATAAATTGAATTAATTTTTAGATTAAAATATAAAAATAGATTTATTCTAAACTAAATAAAAGTAATACATATCTTTCACCCAATTCTAAACGTTGATCTATTTGTATGATCTAAAGGGTCCAATTAAGATTAAGAATATAACTCACATTGATGTAAAATAATCTTACCCTTTTTTTAAATAATATATTACCTAAAAAATATCATATTATCTATATTTTACTTTTCCATTATTCTCCATGTTTAGATGACGAATTTGGACTTTTCATTAGATATGGGATTCGGGGCAGATTTTATCAATAAGAATGAGATCTTTGTTTTTTTTGTTTTTTGTTTTTTGTTTTTATCATTTACCATCTAAAATTTTGTCCATCTAATTCATTTTTTTAATATTGTTAGAAATTTAGATAGATTATCTATTTTTCCCTTGTTAAAAAACAAGTAGCCAAAAGTATCTGGAGTAGTAAATAAGTTAATTCCATTGCGAAGAGAAGTAAAGAAAAAAAAAATAGTGAGAGTGAGACTACTTCCATTTTAAAATTAGGAAATGGTCTTTGTCATTTTAAATGATATAAAATTATGTCATTTTAAAGATAGATACAAAATAATATTTTTTATTTAAAATTTAAATTAAAAGAAGGTAAAAGATTTTTCCAATCAATGGAGATAAGTTATCTACGGTGAGCCCAAGACGACATCGTTTTGAGGCAGAAATAAATTTTTTTTTTGCAATTCTAATATATTGTAGGGTTATTTTAGTCTTTATTATTATTATAATTTTTTAATCTTATAACTTTAAAACGACGTTGTCGTTTTGAGCTTATTGAAAATAATTTTATATACAGTGAGTGAAGAAATATTTTTTCTTTAAAAAGAAGCACTCATTTTTTTCTCCATAATTTTATTCCTTATAAATCTTTCTCTCAAAATAACATAATTTATGTTCTTTAAAATGAAAAAATGCTTAAAAGTATCTATATTCATAGAAAAACTTCCCCATTATTCTTTACGAGTTGGATTCGAGGACAGTTGGTCATCTTGTGGGATTTTTTTAATGTGTTCCGCGAGCATAATATTATTTGATGGCCCTTTACCAAAAAAGAAAATTTTCCTTTCATTTATATTCTTTTTTTTCTTTTTAAATCTCCTCCCAATCTTTTTTTCATGGGCCACAAGGTACCGGCTCATAATAAATGAGCTCCATCTTGTGAATTGGAATCTTCATTCTTTTTTTTTTCTTTCTAATTCCTCGTATGTGAAAATAATTAAAGGGAAATAATTATCTCATATTATATCATACAACAAAGATAAAATAGTGAGGTCTATTATTATTATTTTTTTTAAAAAGTAGTGAATACTACTATCTGGTCTATGTTGCATCAGATACCTCTTAACTATGTAAATGGGAATTTGAAAACCGAAATCCTAACCCAATCAATACATATAGACTAAACTTTTACGCTGCTACCTTACGTGTTATCCCTCTCTCTGTTGCCTGCTGCCGGAGAGAATCAAAGTAGTCTTGGCCGCTCAACTGCCGTGAGTTAATAACCTCAATCATCTTTTTTAGGTTTTAGATTTTTCTCAATGCTTTTATGCACTTCCCTCCTTTCCACTTAGCCCAATCAACAATCATTGATGTTCCATGAATTTCTAACAAACTTCTCAGTTTTTTATTTTTTATATCTATTCTTTTATGACCTTTGTATGCAAAAATGTCACTGCACTATGAAAGCAACTAGGTTGAAGTGGTTACCGGTATATATAGAACTTCAATTAGTTGTTCCTTCAATTAGTTGCTCACTACAGATACAATGCAAACCTTGTCTTGTAGTTATAATGTCTTTCTGCAGTTCTTGCACCGCCATTGATTTTAACATCACAATTATTTTCTTCTCCACAATATGCATCATGTTCCGAATGACATTATAATTTTGCAAGACACTAAAAATCCCATCTTCATGTGTTGATGATGATGGTAAATCAAGTGAAAATTCTTCCAATTGTCTAATAGAAATGAAAATTAATAGTGCGCTTAGTGGACTTGAGGAGTAATGTGCTCCTTGGCCAATTTTGGGATTGCTTTGTGGACTCATATACCAATTAAATCCTATATGGTCTCGCTCGTAATATAAACATTGCATTATTGGTCTCCAATTCTTGACCAACTACTTTGGGGTTGATCTTAGGATTAAGTATCAGGTTCAATCCTGCCTGGGATCTATCAATGCTCTCGCACACTAATACAAGTTTTTTTTTTTTTTTTTTTCTGTTGTAAATATCTGATTCCACAAATATTCACTTTCTACTAAAACAGGGGTGGAATAAAGTTTTAGGGTTTAATTTGCACAACTTAGGACATGTGTATCAAGGGTGCTGTGTATCAAAAATATTAGGGTTTATCTTGTTCAAAATTGGCTCTCGAACTTTGACTGGTTTTGAAAGACCATTTTGTATGTTTTTTTAAAGTGTTTTCTCAATCATTTACCCTATCTTACAAAAAAGGTGGTGACAACGATATTTTTCTATATTTTTTTGTCATCTTGCTCTGACACCAGTTGTGGCATTACCCATTTTTTTGTAGTTGGTCTTGTGAATTTTGAAATTGGAGCATAAATGTAGGTTTGTTTGGTTCACCCCTTTTTATGAGATCTTATTTTATTTCATTCTACTAATTGGTAGTTTTTGAGTTACATTTGTAGGCCTTTTTGCGATTAAGTGCTCCCTTCAGGCAATTGTTCTTCTTCTCCTCCTCTTTGGTCCCCTTTCTTCTTCCATAGCCCCTAGCCACTCCTACCTTCTGTGGGAAGCTACAAGAGGCTATCCATTTCGTCCTCTATGAAGTTGGTGAGTTTCTTACTGTACCTGCTTTTTTGTGTGTTTGTGTAATGGCATATGAAAGAATCTTTTATTTATACTAAAATTCTCTTCATGGTTTAAATCTTTGTTATCTTTCTTGGCCTTTTGCAGACATGTTTGAGCAAAGGTAGGGGCTTTCACTTCCCACCATGTCACATGCTGAATTTTTGTGGGATTAGGATCTTATTGGATTGCCCACTAGACCTTTCCGCTCTTATGGCCTTCTCCCCTGTTCCTACTACTTTGGATGCCTTTCCATTTGAAGAAAGCAACAACACCGAGGCCAATTGTTTTCTGGGTTCAAAGGTTGGGTCTGATGAAAAGAGACAGAAAATTGAGAAGCTCCTTGATGCTAAAAGCTTAGTTTTTGCAGAACCTTGGTACAAGACTGTTAATAACTTGCACCTATGGAATGCCTCTTTCATTGATGTCATATTAATCTCCAGTCCAATGGGTATTATGGGATTACCCTTTCTTACTCGAACAAAGGGTTTCTCAGCTAAGGTAGATTTCCTGTTGTTGTTGTGTATATATATACATACATACATATATATATATATATATATATATATATATATATATATATATATTTTAAATTGAACTATGTTCTCATTTTTGTTAATCTCTGTCCCCAAATTTTGTTTGCTTAGTTTTTTGCTCAATTGGTTAGATCTATGTAACTGAAGCATCGGCAAGATTAGGCCAGCTAGTGATGGAGGATCTTGTATCAATGCATGTCGAATTTAGGCAGTTTTATGGACCAGAGGAATCTGATATCCCTCCATGGCTGAGGCAGGAAGAACTTGAACTACTTCCTTCTGAATTGAGAGAGATACTCTTGAGAAAAGATGGAGTGGAGTTGGGTGGTTGGACACCCCTGTACAGGTGATCTACTCTTAATGTAGTATGCATTTTAATACAAGACTTGCTAGGGACTAAATATTCTATATCCAAAACTTCCATGCACTGGCTGTATGTTATTATCTTGCGATTAACTAATTATAATATATTCATATTCAAATGTTTTTCTCTTCTTTGTCTCTGGAGATTTGTCTCCAAAAGCCAGTCGTAATCACCCTAACCCGATACTGGGCAGAGATGGGTGCATTTAACTCCCATCTGCATGTAGGAATAAGAGGAGTTAATCGATGGGGTTGTTAGTTAATTAGGCAGGCTGGTATACTGTCAGTTAGGCAGTTCGATAGGGAATCACTGTAATTGGGGGAATTCATTCATCCAATTCAAAACTAAAATGAGCAATAGCTTAGTTTTAAGGGGAAATCCTTTGGGAATAGTCTCTCCCTCTTCGTTAGCAGTTCTTGATAATAGACAGGTACGACTTTTACCTCTATTATATCCTGTTCTATTACGTTTGGGACCATAATACACTCATTGGGGAATTGTATCTGTATTATATAATCCTTGTTAGTGAAGTTGCATCTAATAGAACTTGTTGCTTTGTGTATTTATTCTTTGAAGTCAAATATAGCAAATTTTGGTTGTTGAGGATGTAAAGTGTGCAATTTCTCAGTGCAGCTGATGTGAAGGATTGCATGCTAAAGATTCACACACTTAATTATGCTGAGGAAACTTGCTACAATGGCACATTGGTTATAAAAGCATTCAGCTCCGGTGTAGAAATAGGCAGTTGTAATTGGATTCTAAATGGCCCAAAGGGAGATATTGCTTATCTTTCAAGCTCCAGCTTCATTTCTGCTCATGCAATGGCTTTTGATTACCGCAGTCTACAGGGGACTTGTGCCTTAATTTATTCAGATTTCTCATTCTTGAATGATGAACAAGATGTTGAGGATGGGGATAATCACTCTGTTCCAACTGATGATAAGTTATTATCTTCGGATGGATTCAACCTTATCTCTGATGAGAATTCAGAAGAAAAGGAAAAAGTGGTTTTCATATGCTCATGTGCTATAGAGTGTCTCAAAGTTGGTGGTTCAGTTCTTATTCCTTTTAATCAACTTGGAACTATTTTACAGCTTGTGGAGGAAATTACAACATCACTCGAAGCTTCAGCTATGAAGGTGCCGTTTCTTTTTTTTACTATGGTCTCTGTTGAATGGTCATCAAAATCAAGGAAAAACTTTGATGGAAATATGGAATATATTTTGGGGGTGTCATTAATTATCCTTGTTTAAATTGTTATTTACTGTCCTCCAACACCACATATCCATATCCTTTTTAGTTGCTTGTTCCCACTCATTGGTAAGATGCCTCTCTTTAGCCACCTATGTGGCATTAGCCTCAGGTTCTGTTTGTTTTTCTTATTCTCATTTTCTATTTTTGTTTTCTAAGAGAGTTAAACCCATGATATTGTTTTCAAGTGTTTATTATTTAAAATTTTATTGCTTTTCATTTTCCTTTTTGTGCTTGTAATGGAAAAGACAGTTAAAGTCAAAATTCAATCTTTGAAAGTTTGTAAATAAACATAACTGGCAAAAGAATTTTTTGGTGCAAAATCTGAGATGCCCACATTGACTTATACTAATTTGTATTAATTATTTTTATATTTTTAGGTTCCAGTTTATATAATTTCTTCAGTGGCTGAAGAATTACTGTCATTGCTTAACATCATACCAGAATGGCTTTGCAAACAGCGCCAAGAAAGAGTACAGGCTTTTAGAATTATGATTTTGGTCTGTTGCACTCGCATACTTTGATTTATAAAATTTAACTTTTGTTTTATTACTTTAATTGATGCTGCAGCTATTTGCTGGGGAACCATTGTTTGCACACTTCAAGCTACTAAAAGAGAAAAAGATTCACGTGGTTCCCACTATTCATTCGCATCAACTCTTGTGAGATTTTTACCTTGTTTTTCCTTTATCTTCTCTCTTATAAGGAGCTTTTGATAATGGAAATGGTCAATCAAATTTACTAATTTAGAGTCTGTTTGCACTTTCAAGATGCAAAATTATGTTTTCTTGCAATGTTAATTATTTGGGGAAAATTTGTGTTTCTTATCTTGAGTTTTACTTTCTGTTAATACCCCAGAAGCTATGCGTTCAATTTTAACAAACTGCATAAGTCACTCATGGTTTGCCTAGTCTTTTTTTATTGTTATTTGCTCACAAAACTGATGTATTGCTCACAGAATGAATTGGCAGGAACCCTGCATTGTATTTTGTCCTCACTGGAGTCTGCGTATGGGTCCTGTTGTTCATCTGCTTCGACGTTGGTGTGGTGATCCAAAATCTTTACTTATCCTTCAGGTGTGATATATTCCTCACATAATATAAATTCTTATGATGCTTCATTCCACTCATTTTATTCCTTGATTTCTTATGTACCTTGTAAGTTCCATCCTTTTAATGAAGTTGGGAAATGGCTTTGACCTATGTTTAATTAAATTTACTTTTTTCAGGATGTGTTGAATCCTGAGCTTGCACTATTACCTTTCAAGCCAGTTGCAATGAAGGTGCTTCAATGTCTGTTTCCCTCTGGAATTGGGTAGGTTTACCTTTCCCTTTGTTACTTCTTCCAACTTGCAGATTCATGTATACATCTCATTGTTCTTGCAAATAATTTTCAAAATCTGTATAAACATTAACCGGTTAGTAACATTTTATAATTTTGTCTCCCAAGGAACATAAGGGAGAGAAAAACTGTCAAGAATATAAATCAACCCGACTAAACTGTTTCTTTCCAGATGATTGTAGAATTAACAGTATGTGGATGGGCTCCTTGGTGTGTCCTTTTTCCCGTCCCCATTTCAAAGCACCTCTGCTTAAAGACTAGAGTGTTTTTTCAAAATGATTGTTTTTTTGAAATTTAGTCAATAAAACCAAAAACCTTTGGTAAGAGATGAAGATGTAAATGAAAGATGGATGAACTACTTTAACAAACTTTTTAATGGGGATGGCGATAAAAGTGAGGTGAACTTAGAGGATGCTTATGATGATCTGAATAGAAGATTTGTGCGTAGAATCAATACACATGAAGTCAAGGAGGCTTTAAAGAGGATGAAGACTAATAAAGCTTTGGGACCCGATGGCATACCTATTGAAGTGTGGAGGGGCTTGGGGAGGTGGCAATAAATTGGCTGACCAATCTTTTCAATAAGATTCTTCAAACAAATAAGATGCCTGATGCTTGGAGGAAGAGTGTGCTTGTGCCTATTTACAAAAACAAGGGAGATATCCAGAATTGTTCTAACTATAGAGGCATTAAGCTTATGAGCCATACTATGAAGTTGTGGGAGAGAGTTATTGAACATCGTTTGAGGAGAGAGACTAAGGTTTCTATAAATCAATTTGGATTGTAAAGAACCTTGGGATACACCACCCCAAAAGCTAGCTAGCTCAAAGGGTGGGAATGCCCAAGACCTTATAAACTCCACATTAGTTGCACATACAACCAATGTGGGACTACATATCTCAACACGCCCCCTCACGGTTCTTTACATGGTATCAGAGCTTGAGTGACTATAAGGTCCCAAGTTCGATTCTCACGGCCCCCCACTTTCAAGTGGAATTAAAATAAAAAAAAGCACAAAAAGGTAAATCAAAATTTGGGCCTGTGCAATATCCACGCTTCTAGCCCAATGGGCTCTCGTGTGAGGGGGCATGTTGAAATATATAGTCCCACATTGGTTGTATGTGCAACTAATGTGGAGTTTATAAGGCCTTGGGCACTCCCACCCTTTGAGCTAGCTTTTGGGGTGATGTATCCCAAGGTTCTTTACAAAAGGGTGGGAGTGCCCAAGACCTTATAAACTCCATATTAGTTGCACATACAACCAATGTGGGACTACATATCTCAACACGCCCCCTCACACGAGAGCCCATTGGGCTTGAAGCGTGGATAATGCAACAGGCCCAGCCTACCTATGCTAAGAAACTCCACAAGAGAAAGTGGGGGGCGGCGAGGCTCTGATACCATGTAAAGAACCTTGGGATACACCACCCTAGAAGCTAGCTCAAAGGGTGGGAGTGCCCAAGACCTTATAAACTTCACATTAGTTGCACATACAACCAATGTGGGACTACATATCTCAACATGGATTTATGCCAGGAAGATGTGCCACAGAAGCTGATGCGTCAATTGATGGAAAGATATCAAGAAAAAAAGAAGGATTTACATATGGTGTTCATAGATCTTGAGAAAGCATACGATAGGTTCCCAAAAAAAGTTTTATGGTGGGTACTTGAGAAGAAAAAAGTACCATCAAAGTATGTAATGCAATCAAGGATATGTATGATGGGGCTACTACATGTGTGAAAGCTTGTAATGGAACATCAAGTTATTTTCCTATTACAGTAGGTGTACACCAAGGTTCGGCTCTGAGTCCTTATTTCTTTGCCTTAGTGATGGATGAACTAACAAAAGAAATTCAAGAGGAAGTGTCGTGGTGTATGCTTTTTGCAGATGATATTGTGCTTATTAATGAGATCAAAGACGGTGTTAATAGGAAACTTGAATTGTGGAGAAGCACTTTGGAGTCTAAAGGTTTCACGTTAAGCCGGAGTAAGACTGAGTATATGAAGTGTGATTTTTCTATGGTAAGAGATGAAGATCAAAACCCCGTGTATTAGAATTTGATCATGAAAGGAAAATGAGAGAAAGTGAGAGAAACTAGAGTGACAGAGATATGAGAAATCATCTTTCTTATTAGCACAAAGTTCAGAAAAATGAATCATTACAAGAGAAAGAATAGGGAACATTATATATAGACTAGAGCTAACTGAATTGCTGACTCAGCAATTCTAACAATTTAATAACTGTCCTATAACAAACTAACAGCTGGTAAAGCTTGTACAAGAGTAAGAGATCAGCTAAGTCTGGTACAAACAAGATAAGCTACAACCAGAGAATTAATATCTAATTAATATCTAATACTCCCCCTCAAGCTCAGCAGTGTTGGAGAGGTGGAACAGAATCCAAGACTCTGAGCTTGGTTCGGAAATCAGCAAAGAGGCTGAAGGCAAAGGCTTGGTAAATGTATCTGCCAACTGATTCATGGTAGGTATATGCGATACTTGTATATTCTTAGCTACAACCTTTTCACGAAGAAAATGGAAATCCAACTCAAGATGCTTGGTGCGAGCATCTAAAATTGGATTATGTGCTATAGCTACAGCACTGAGGTTGTCACACAGAATGTGAGGAATAGAAAGGGACAACTGCAACTCCTGAAAAAGAGACTTGATCCACAATATTTCTGCACATACTAGAGCCATGCTTCTGTATTCAGCTTCAGCAGTGGACCTGGCTACAAGAGACTGCTTTTTAGACCACCAAGATATGAGATTGGATCCCAAAAAGATACAGGCTCCAGAGGTTGACCTTCGATCATCAGGATCACTCCCCCAATCAGCATCACAGAAAGCTGTGAGAGGAAAGGAGCCAGAGACAGATTGGACTGGCTGAAAGTGAAGTCCAAAGGTAATAGTGCCTTGAAGATATCTCAAAATACGTTTGACTGCTTTCCAATGTTCTACCAAAGGTTGACTCATAAATTGACAAACCTTGTTGACAGAAAATGAGATTTCCACAATATGTCTATGTTTTCTTTCAACAACACCATTTTGGTGATGTGTATGAGGACAAGTGATCCTATGTGCTATTCCATGTGAGCTGAGATACTGAGTGAAAACTCTAAACTCACCACCCCAATTTGTTTGGATAGCTTTTAGAGGTAGTTGAAACTGATTTATTATCATGGCATGGAATTGTTTGAACACATTAAATGCATCTGACTTCTGTTTTAATGGATAAAGCCATGTGTATCTCGAATGGGCATCAACAAAGGAAATGTAATACAGGTTACCAAGGGTTGATTTTATGGGTGAGGGTCCCCATAGGTCACTGTAAACGAGTGAAAAGGGCTTCTCATATTCAGTGTTAGATGGTGGAGAGTGTTGTCTGTGAGACTTTGCACAACAACAAGGGGAACAAAATTCTGCCATTTTATTGCTAATGTGTATATTACAAGTTTTAAGAACACTTTTGAGAGAATCTAAATGAGGATGCCCCAAACGGCAGTGCCACAAAGAGTACAATGAGCTGGAAGGAGTACATTCACTGTCTCCTTTTCCAGTAACTGTTTTATGGTTCTGACTACTAACATTACTGCTAGAATTTACAACATTGACAGATCTGTTAGTAGGAGAAGGCAGAGATGAACTTGAAGAGGTATTATTTGACAGTGTGACAGGATTCTTTGAAAGATTCAGGTCTGAGAAGTGATATAGACCATAAGTCCCAACGACACCTTGAAGGAGAATTTTATGTGAGTCCTGACATTTTACAAAGCACACATCAGAATGGAATTCAAAAACACTGAATTATCCTTAGCAAACTTACTTACATTGATAAGGTTTTTTGTGATTGAAGGCACAAGGAGTAAGTTCTTAAGATGCAAAACAAAATTAGATTGAAAGGGAGATATGAAAGAAGAAGACCCAACAGCTTTTATGGGCAAACCTTGGCCATTAGCAATTAAAATGTGGTCTGTACCACTGAGTTGATGTCCTTGCATAATATTCTGAGATGCACCAGTGATGTGACTTGATGCTCCAGAATCAGGTACCCACTCTACTAGAGGAGCAGTGTTGGATTGTTGAGTTGTCATATAAGCTTGGGCTTGATTCTGAGTCCTGTTGTACTGATAGGATCTCACAGGTTTAGGCCGTTCTTGGATAAAGAACTGAGGATAGGACGTGTTTTGTGGTGGTGGTAGATTAGGAGTGAAGTTCTCTTCAAACCTATGCCAGCAATCTTTGACATTGTGACCAAACTTATAACAAAGTTGACAATGTACATTTGTCCTGTTTGTACGTCCTCTTCCTCTGTTTGATCTCATACCATATCGTGCTCTTCCTCTGTTTTGGCCATTTGAGGTGTTAAATTGCCTGAAACTTTGCTCCTCTGTTCTGCTCTGTTTTAGTGATTCATGAACAGTGTCATCTTCTTCATCAGAAATAGCCTTTTGTTGTACCTGAATACGCTGGGTCAGGTTTATTGAGGCTCCTTCAGCCAGTAATTGCTCGTTTTGCTTGACTAGAAGCTGTTCGAAGGCCATAAGTTCCACTCCTAGATCTGCAACGGAATAAGCCTTTTCTCTACCATGAATCATCATCACGAAGGAGTTGTAATCAGAAGGTAGTCCTTCAAGTATCGTCTCTGTATGATCTTCAATGGATACTGGATTACCTATTGATTTGAGTGAATCACAGATTGTTTTGATCCTTGCGAGATATTCTTTTGCTGTCTTCGTTTCTTTCTTCATTGTCTTCAACTCAGATCTTAATTGTCTGGCTCGCGACTTCATCACTCCATGGAATAATTTGTGTATGTTCTCCCATGCTTCGAACGAGTGTTTCACTGGAAGAATATCATTCATCACTGATTCTGAGATGGTAGAAAGTAGCCAAGTCAGTAGCATTTGATCTTGCATTAACCATTCAGTATAAGCTGAACTGAAGATGTTGCTCTCTCGATCTTCTTCTGATTCAACCTTCAAAGGAATTTTTGGATTCACTAAGAAACGTTGCAATTGGTGAGATATGATGATTGGCTCCACTATTTGATTCCAGAAGAGATAATTATCTTCTGTTAGTCTTGCAGAAACTTGAAAATTAAAAAGTGCAGAAGGATTTTTCTGCTCTATAGCTGTAGATCTGGAAGCTGATTTGCTTGTAGGTGTTGCACTAGTGTCTGCGTTGGATGCGGAAGACATGATTGAAGGTTGTTCAATGGTTCAGGCCCTTGGATAGGGCTCTGATACCATATTAGAGTTTGATCATGAAAGGAAAATGAGAGAAAGTGAGAGAAACTAGAGTGACAGAGATATGAGAAATCATCTTTCTTATTAGCACAAAGTTCAGAAAAATGAATCATTACAAGAGAAAGAATAGGGAACATTATATATAGACTAGAGCTAACTGAATTGCTGACTCAGCAATTCTAACAATTTAATAACTGTCCTATAACAAACTAACAGCTGGTACAACTTGTACAAGAGTAAGAGATCAGCTAAGTCTGGTACAAACAAGATAAGCTACAACCAGAGAATTAATATCTAATTAATATCTAATACCGTGCATTTACTTGGTCAAGAGGTTCCCAAGAAAGATGTTTTTAGATATCTGGGATCAATTTTACAATAAGGTGGTGAGATTGATGAGGATGTAAATCATAGAGTTAGAGCAAGATGGATGAAATGGAGGAGTGCATCTGGGTTTTTGTGTGACCGCAAAATTCCCCATTAAACTAAAAGGAAAATTCTATAGGACAGCAGTAAGGCCTACAATGTTATATAGAGCTGAATGTTGGCCAGCACATAGGCAACACGAGCATAAAATGGGAGTAGCAGAAATGAGGATGTTAAGGTGGATGTGTGGTTAGACGAGGATGGATAAGATAAGAAATAAAGATATTCGACGAAAGGTAGAAGTAGTCCCGGTAACTGAAAAGATGAGGGAACATAGATTGAGGTTGTTTGGGCATGTAATGAGACGGCCCCTGGATGCTCCTGTAAGAACAAAAATTTGTTACCAAGAGCTCGACACAAAGAGAGGTAGAGGTAGACCGAAACTTATCTGGGAAAAGCCAAAAACTTGTTGCGAATCTAGCAAGTGTACTAGTCGTACAAGTAATAAAATGATGAGTAAAGATCGTTCCCACGAGGATTTGTGTCAAGCACTGACTAACCATATGTACTTGAGTTGAATCAAACAAAAGTTCATAGATTGCATAGATTTCTTGTCACCAGAAACTACACTGAATTGAATTAAAACTTGATAAATAAATAAAATGTAAATTATAATAAAATGTAAATTATAATGTAAACAAGTAGTCAAATGTCAATTTCCCTCAAGCATGAATTTATGGATGAACCAATTTCCATAATGAATATTTACTATGTGATGTTGATCAACCTTTTTCTTATCATCTCAAGATGTAATCCCTTACTACCCTGATAGACACATTAATCAGAAACCCCAATCCCTTGGTGATTCCTTTCTTAATACATGCATTAATTACTAAGGTCTTAAGATCACATCAGAATCCTAGCATCAATCCCTTGACTACTAGAACATTGATGATGAAGTTGTCAAAAATAGAGAAACAATGTAAACATGTCTGTTCTACACTATTCCTCAACATGAAGAATTAATCAAGACAACTTCATACAATCACATAATAGATAAACAAAACATCTAATTAACCATTCATAAATTCAAACTTGAGTTCCATTGAATCAGACTACAAAGGACTCTACTAAGACATAATACAAATAATAACAAGAGAAGAAGAAGAAAGATCAAACTCCATTGTCATGATAGTTGAGTCTTCAATCTTCAAGTACAATTACATGAAAGTATACTAACTATTACAATACTAAGTCCTAAGAATTTGGAAAGTCAGAGAAAATGAGGAATCAAATCAGATCTATGAAAAATCTGACCTGATCTCCCTTCTCCTAGTGTGATGGGGAAAGTCAGAATATCAGAGAATGGATATGAGAGAGTTGCATCTGATCATCATCTTGTGAAGGCCCTTTGTCCTTTTATAATTTACAAATTACAACTGAAAACTGACATGGGCGCTAAAACTCTCATTTCTGGACGTTTTAGCGCTCAACCTTGACGGATGCCCAACTGCTTTTAACTGTCTTGGGCGCTAAAACTCCCAGTTTTGGCCGTTTTAATGTTCAGCACCAGCATCTTTTGTGCAACAAGGCGCTAAAACGCTCAGTTTTGGGCGTTTTAGCGCCCAACACTTAGAATTTTCTAATTTTCAGAATCTTCTTCCTTCTCTCTTTTGCTTCTTTGAGCTTCAATTCCCTACAAGAACAATGTAAATTTTCAATACAACTTCCAGAACTTGTATTTAGGAATTTATAGGACATTGACCTCTTTTTCATCTATTTAATCACACAAATTTATACTAATTCATGCTCAAAAACCTGATGAACTAAGGGTTCATCAAGGTAGTTAAACAAGATTTAATGGAGTGGGATATAGATTGACGGACTGTGTGTCTTAGGACGAAATGGAGAAAAGCTATAGCCAGGGTGGAAGGTTAAACTCGTTATTATTCCTATTTTCCAGATAGTCTCTTTTTAGTCCTTTTTCCTCTTCAATCCCCGCTCTCCTTTTTCCCTTCTTGTCTTTTATCTTATTTTCCTCTTCCCTAATTTTTTATTTTTATTTTTATATTTATTTATTTATTTATTTTATTTTATTTTTTAATCTCCTCTTATTTATCATTGGGTTCATCCACCACCGACTCCAATTAACTTGGGTTAAAGATGATGTTGATGTTGAGTAAATAAAAAGTGAAATCTCTGCTGATGACCATTTGATATATGTATTTAGCTTTCTCTGCATTTTTTTGATTTCCACGTTTTAGGTTGCATAAAGTTCAACCTTTGCTGAAGACACTGCAGCCGAAGACTGTTCTGGTAATTGTACAAAATTTACTTTATAATACATACAGTTCTTTATTGCTATTGAAGATTATACATGTGATGAACTAATGATCTGTTTTTTTTTTTACTCCTTATCCTCTAGTGCCCTGAAGATTTGAGGATGCGGATCAGCTTTTCAAGTGAAAAGCCTTTCTCAGTTTTGTACTATGCTGAAGGTGAAACTTTAAAAGTAGCATACCGAAAAGACAGTTCAGAGTTGAAAATTGCAACTGATTTGGCTTCCCAGTTTTATTGGATAACGTTTAAAAAGGAAGAAATCAATATTGCGAGATTAAAAGGGGACCTGTTAATGGAAAATGCTAGACATCACTTGCTCTTGGATAATGAGAAAAAAAATTCCTTGAGAAATAGGCCTTTGATACATTGGGGTTTACCTGATTCGGAAAAGCTTCTGGGGGCATTATCAAAGGTGGGTATTAATGCATCTATGGAACATAGTATGAGTGATGCTGAATCACAAACTGTATGTAAAGTTCACACACAAGACCCTTACAAAGCCTTGATAGAGATTGGAACCACGGGTACCATTATTACTACCGCTGATGATAACGTGGCTTCCCTCATTTATAAAGCTGTGAGTAGCATTTTGGATGGGGTTTTGACATAATGCATTTTCTTTTATTGATGTTTGTAAAATCCTTGTATCAGCTTATTCATAGATATCTGTATTCATTAATGCTGATGAGAACGTGACTTACCTTATTTATGAAGATGTGGACCGCATTTTGGATGGGGTTTTTGATATAATGGATTTTCTTTTACTGATGTTTCTGAAATACTTGTATCAGAATATTATTAATAGATATCAGTTAATAAATACTATCAGTATTCACTACTTTGTTTATTTGATCAATGGAAGAGTGGAAACTTTTACCATTATGGTCCTAACTTCATACTGTCAAGCTCATGAATTTCCAATAAACACGAAGCAGAACTGATGACTTTGAATGTTGAGTGAGAGTGTGAGAATGAGAATAAGGTCTCATGGTTTTAATTGGTCCCGATTGGACTGATTTTTATTTTGGTTGCAGCTATTACAAAAATATGGTTTTGGTGATGTTATGAGAAAATGGTTTTTCACGTTAATAACCGTTTATTAAGTATGAGTCTCAGACATGTAAAAGTATAGGATTTACATATTTTATCAATTAAGGTGCAAATGTTATGTTGGAGCTGGATTCTGTTAGCCCATCATGGAAGCAAATGCTGAAGTATAATCAATATAAAAAAATTCTGACTTATACAATGATGCTCCGTTATGCATTCAAAATCGTAAAAACAATTGCGGGAAATAATAGGACTCATGGGTTTCCAAGATTTGTTGGTCGGGCTAAACATTAACTAGAACTTGGTTTCGATGGAGCATTCACTAACCAACGGCTAGGATGAGATCTCGAACTCGTTAATTCTTAGTTGAATCAAGAGAAAAATTAGATGAAGGGAATTTGCGCCAAACAACTCTGATCTCACTGGAGATATAGAACCACTCTCTACAGAAGGGAAACTCTATCCATGTTGACCAACAACAGGAAGTTAATCTCGATAAAGGTTGGAGAGTCGTTGTATACAAAAGCGTTAATGCCACCAAACACATGGATTAATTGTTAAAAGATTATTCCAACTTAATCACTAGTCTCGAGTTTGAGTTTGATAGGGACCTGGAACCTCGAACCGGAGTGGAGGTGGCGGATCAACAACCACGAGACAGCCAAGGAGAGACACGGATAGATGGAGATGATATAGAGAAGAAAGAAGTGGTTCAGCTGAGAAGAGGGGAGAGAACCAGGGAGAAGAGTAGGTGGACCAGAGACTTTGTGATGCACACACGTGGCTAACAGATGTCATATGGATGAGGAGAGTTGAACTCAGCATTTGGAACTTGGGCTGAGGGCAATTAATAAGATAGTAAATGTAGTTGGGCCTTTGTAATTGTTAGCCCATTTAGTACTCAGTTGCGTATAACAGGTAGAAAGGGTGCTATCAGAGGTTTATCTAAAATCTGTAACAAACTTTGTTTGCCTTCTTCTTCATCTCAAATTCTGGAGTAATCAGCAAACTCGAATTGCTGAGATATATTACATTGCTTTTCTTGTTTTCTCTTGTTTGTGTGAATTCATAGCTTGAGGTGCTATCATTTTTGAACTTGAAGTTAACAATGATGGAAGGAAAATTAGATCAGACGCAGAAGAGCAAGACTAAGACAGAAGGGACTTCCCATGGAGGTTTGGGAGATTTGTTTGGAACTAATGCATTTAAATCTGTAAAACTTACCATTCCACGATTTTCTGGTGGAAACCCGGAGCCTTGGATCCATAAAACCCAGCAATTTTATGGGTTTCACAACCTTACTGATTTGGAGAAATTCACCCAAACTTCCTTCCATATGGACGGATCTGCCGAAGAGTGGTACCATTGGGTGGATCGCAATGGTAGGCTACGAACTTGGGAGCAATTTCTGATAGCTCTCCGCGCTCGGTTTGGGCCTTCACGCTACCGAGATCTGAGGGGAGAATTGGGAAGACTGACTCAAGTAACATCAGTTACTGACTATCAAGCACAATTTGAACAACTGGCGAATCAAGTGATTGGGATTGACGATGTTAGCCTCCAAAGTTACTTTGAATCTGGGCTCAAGCCAGATATTCGCAAAGAGGTGCGTATGCACCTACCTGCATCTGTAGAGCAGGCCATTGACTTAGCTAAGTTAGTGGAAGACAAAATTAATGATAAAAGTCACATGAGAACATTCCCAAACAGAACCGTACCTGTAGCTGGTGGCAGTAATTCACAGGGGCTTTTACCTACACCTCAACGTAGTCAGCCGATGGGACCTTTGATTTAAAAGGAGAATATACGCATTAAACGCTTATCATCGGCAGAAATGGCCGAAAGAAGAGAAAGAGGCCTATGTTTTTACTGTGATGAAAAAAAACCATAAGAACCATGTGTGCAAAGGGAAGCTGTTCATTCTGGTGGTTCAGGATGATGGGGACACCATAGGAGACAGTGACCTTCGCGAATTGGAGTTGGAGCATGAAGTTAGTAATGAGAAAATTGAAGGAGAAGATAATTCCATACCAGAAATCAGCCTGCATGCCATGGCGGGCCAATACTCCACTAGCACCTTACGAATCAAAGGCAGAATCACCAATACAGCAGTCCAAATCTTGGTGGATGGAGGCTCTACGCACAACTTCATACAGGACCGATTAGTGAAGTTCTTGGGCCTAGAAATCAGTCCAACTCAGAAGTTCCAGGTGTTGGTAGGTAATGGGGAAATGATGAGTTGTTTGGGGGTATGCTCTCGAGTTCCTATAGACATTCAAGGGCATGACTTTTATCCAGACCTGTATGTATTACCTATACAAGGGGCTGAGGTCGTTTTAGGGGTACGATGGCTATCCGAATGGGGAGATGTGACCATTAGTTATAAACAGCTATTGATGAAATTTGAAAAGGCAGGCCAGCTAGTGGAAATCAAAGGAGAACCCAGTGTTGCCATGGAAGCTATTCAATTAAACCAATTACGCAGGTTGACTTCTTCTAATTCGGTTGCATGTATGTATCAGTTACAAACCATAGAGCACAAGATGGAAGCTGTTATTCCTGAAGCAACAGAACTGGACACACGTGTGCAACAGGTTCTGCAAGAATTTGCAGACATATTTGAGAAGCCTACCAGCTTACCCCCATTCCGTGAAGAGGATCACCGCATTCACCTGGAACCTGCAACAACAACAGTACATGTTAGACCATATAGGTATCCTCATTTTCAGAAAATGGAAATAGAGAGAATAGTCAAGGAAATGATGGAGTCTGGAGTAATCCGACGCAGCCTCAGTCCATTCTCCTCACCGGTCCTATTGGTCAAGAAAAAGGACAGAACGTGGAGGTTTTGTGTAGACTACCGAGCCCTTAACCAGGTGACCATAGCCAACCGGTTCCCCATTCCCACAGTGGACGAAATGCTAGATGAATTAGCAGGGGCTTCCGTGTTTTCAAAGATGGACCTGAGAACGGGTTACCACCAAATTCGGATGGCTGAGCAAGATATTTTCAAGACAGCTGTTCGTAGTTATGCCTTTTGGCCTCACTAACGCCCCTGCTACCTTCCAAGGCATTATGAATTCGGTACTTAAACCCTTCTTGAGAAAATTTGTCATTGTTTTCTTTGACGATATTTTAATATATAGCAGGACCATGCTGGACCATCTGAGACACCTCCGGACAGTATTGGAGTGCTTACAACAGAACCAATTATATGCCAAGAAGGAGAAGTGCTCTTTTGCCCAATCGGATGTGGAGTACTTGGGGCATGTCGTTGGAGCAGCAGGTGTAAGGCCGGATGAGAAGAAAATAATAGCAATCAAAGAGTGGAAAACACCCACAACAGTGAAGCAACTCAGAGGCTTCCTTGGACTAGCTAGTTATTACAGGAAGTTTGTCAAGGGATTCTCCCAGCTAGCTGCTCCCTTAACCACACTCCTCCAAAAGGATGGGTTCCAGTGGAATGATGCAGCCACTCACGCAATGCAGCAGCTCAAGGAAGTTCTTTCCAACCCACCAGTCCTGGCACTACCAGATTTCACTCTTCCCTTTGTGTTGACCACTGATGCATCAGGGGTTGGAATAGGAGCAGTACTTAGTCAGAGCAATCAACCAATCGCGTATTTTAGCCGCAAGCTGTCCACAAAAATGCAACAAGCATCCACTTATGTTCGAGAACTATTTGCTATAACCGAGAGTGTAGCAAAGTTTCGGCAATACCTGTTGGGTTGTAAGTTTACTATAAGAACCGATCAACACAGTATCAAGGAGATGATGGCTCAAGTAATCCAAACACCAGAGCAGCAGAGGTTTCTTGTGAAACTCTTAGGATTTGACTACATAATTGAATATTATCCAGGTGCTGTGAACAAAGTGGCTGATGCACTGTCCAGAGTGCATGAAGGGGAGAAACCAGCAGCTTCTACTCAGAATGTTCTATTCACCTTGTCCACTTTGAATAATCCCTTGTTGGACTCCATCAAATCTGAGGTCACAAGTAAATCAGAATTAGTCAAGCTGAGCAAAGCAATTGAAGAACGAAGCGAAGGGTATGAGCACTATGCTGTGAAAGAAGGACTTATCTTCTTTAAAGGGCGGATTGTGTTAGCTAGCAACTCTGAGTTGAAGACCACATTGCTTCATGAATTTCATTCACGGTGATAGGAGGGCACGGAAGAGTACGCAAAACACTGCATCGAATATCCACCCATTATTTTTGGACAAACATGAAACAGGATGTGCAAGAATTTGTTCGAACCTGTCCTGTATGCCAAGTGACTAAATACCAACCCTTATCCCCAGCTGGGCTACTCCAACCGCTGGCTATTCCACGTGCTGTGTGGGAAGATCTGTCCATGGACTTCATAGTGGGGCTTCCCCAATCCGACGGCAAATCAGCGATCATGGTGGTGGTTGATTGACTATCTAAATACGCCCATTTTTCAGCCTTAGCCAACAATTTTACCGCTTCAAAGGTTGCCTCCATATTTGTCTCTGATGTATGTAAACACCATGGTGTCCCTCGATCGATCGTCTCTGATAGAGACCGCATCTTCATCAGCAGATTCTGGCAGGAGTTGTCTTGGCTGAGTGGCACGCGCCTTCACTTCAACACAACAAATCACCCTGAGAATGACGGGAAAACTGAGGTGACTAATAGGGGGTTGGAGCAATACCTACGCTGCTATACAATGGAAAATCCACACAGTTGGGTGCAGTATTTACCATGGGCTGAGTTCTCTTATAACTCATCATACCATTCTTCCATTGGCTCCACACCTTTCCAGATACTCTATGGTCGCCTACCCCCTGCCTTACAACCATATGAAGGTTAGACAACACCCATAGAAGCTGTGGAGACCCTGCTGACACAACGAGATGCTATCCTTAGGCAACTTAGAGAGAACTTGCACCGAACTCGTCAGCGGATGAAGCACCAAGCTGACAAACACCGCCGTGACATACACTTTGCTGTCGGAGATCAGGTGTTGGTCAAGCTCCAACCTTACAAGCAGAAATCGGTCAGAAATCAGTCCTATTCTAAACTCCGTCGCAGGTATTATGGCCCGTTCTTGGTGACTGAAAGAATCGGCCAGGTTGCCTATCGACTTCAGCTTCCAGATGGCTCAAGGATCCACCCGGTGTTTCACGTTTCCTTGCTGAAGGCTTTCCGGAAGAACCTCGCACTTCACCCACAACCACTTCCAACAGTAACTTGGGAGAACCATCCGATGACCGATCCACTCGCTATAGTGCGCTCTCGGACCATTTCCAACGAAAAAGGGACGGACTTGCAGGTCCTTGTTCAGTGGCGTGGCTTGCCGTTGGAAGACGCCTCCTGGATGTCCGCATCAGAGTTTTGCCAAGCTTTTCCCCAATTTAATCTTGAGGACAAGATTGATTCTTTAAGGGCGGAGGAAATTGATAGGGACCTGGAACCTCGAACCGTAGAGGAGGTGGCGGATCCACAACCACGAGACAGCTAAGGAGAGACACAGATAGATGAAGATGATATAGAGAAGAAAGAAGTGGTTCAGCTGAGAAGAGGGGAGAGAACCAAGGAGAAGAGTAGGTGGACCAGAGACTTTGTGATGCACACACGTGGCTAACAGATGTCATATAGATGAGGAGAGTTGAACTCAGCATTTGGAACTTGGGCTGAGGGCAATTAATAAGATAGTAAATGTAGTTGGGCCTTTGTAATTGTTAGCCCATTTAGTATTCAGTTGCGTATAACAGGTGGAAAGGGTGCTATCAGAGGTTTATCTAAAATCTGTAACAAACTATGTTTGCCTTCTTCTTCATCTCAAATTCTGGAGTAATCAGCAAACTCGAATTGCTGAGATATATTACATTGCTTTTCTTGTTTTCTCTTATTTGTGTGAATTCATAGCTTGAGGTGCTATCAGAGTTACTTGAAAAGCAGTTGTTGAAACTTGTAGGGAGAGTTTTGGCGCCTATGTCATCCTACTCAACTTGAATTGGATCAATCAAATAATCAATGAACCAATGAATATATTTAAATTGAATATATAATATAAAATTATTATATAGTACATATTGCGAAAAATATAGTACAAGTTCCATACTCGCTCTCCATTTTATTATTAAATAAAAAAATATTGTGAAATTTTTTAATACAAATAGGTTGACCCATGTAATGTCCATTATTCAAATTCAACAAACTCTTATAAAATATACTATCATTAATATAACTTTTTGAATTGAATTGAGTTTGTACATTAAGAAACAATTCTTGTTGGAAGACAACGAATTACTATATCATAACCTGGGCTGAATCAAGGAGAGCAAATAGATCACTTATATATGAGATACCACCATTAATAAATAACAGTGGCCCAGTTCAATGCAAAAGTTATCCCTAGAAGATTCTGACTTGGAAACTTAGTCCTAAAGAGCTAGGCTAGTGGTGTGGGTGTGTAATAGAGTGTGTGTGAGTGTGTGGTTGTGTGTTCTATTCCCTGTAACCTACAAAAAAAAGGAGATCATATGCTGTGAAAAGGAAAGTGACGTAAAGAAAGCTCGTGACTAATTAGGAAGTCCCATATTAGATTACCAATAAGACGAAGACGAGAACTTACACCTTAGGCACACTTTTCGGAAGAAAATTCTTAGACAATAAGTATGGCCAAACTATGGAAATAATATAAACAAGACAAGTGCTTATTTAATAAATATATGTTCCATTTTTACTCTAAAGGCCCCAAAAAAAAAATCACCTTAACTTAAGCAAATTAATACATAGTTATATTTGAAAAAAAATTCAAATTTTATCCGTAGATAAGAAATAATAAGAATCAATACTTGAAAGCTAAGTTTAAGAGAGTAAAATTTATGCCATACTACTTAAACTGTTAGTGAGGCTAGAGCCAAATATGTAACCCAAGGGGTGTAGTGGTCAATATAGGAGTATCTTTGACAGCAATGGCATAAACCAATACCATGTAAATAAGTCTCAGGTGCTGTGTATAACAATTGGGGGTGGTGTTGAATGGCCACTATAGCTCTCCAAGTTGATAGAGTAACGACTCATACAAGTGGTAATATCGTGTCTCCTCGTGGTCTAGAAAAAAGGATATTTATAGTTAGGGTTGAGCCCTTATCTATGTGGGAGAGTGAGCTAAGTCAACTACCATGGGAAGAGCCATATGCACCTGGCCTAGCTGTGGCAAGGCACTTTGCAGCTGCTGAGCGAGAAAGGAATAACGGGGGGGGGGCATTTTGGATGTCTGTCCAGACAAAAAAGAAGTGGGGGTATCCCAAGCAAGGCATTCTGGTGTCTAGTGTTGGGAAAAACCTGTTGCAGGGGGCAGGGTTAGCAGCTCTTTGCAGCGGATGCAATGCTGACAGCAGCTGCTGAGCGAGAAAGGCATAAGAGGGGAGACATTTTGGGTGTCTGTCCAGAAAAAAGAATGTGGGGGTATCCCAAGCAAGGCATTCTAGTGTCTAATGTTGGGAAAAACCTGCTGCAGGGGGGCAAGGTTAGTAGAACTGTAAAGGTTGCTCTTGTGGTGCTGGTAAGGTGGAGAAAAGGTGGCATGGGCCTTTTGGTATTGGGTCAGTCAACTGGGCTGGCCATAAATGTGTTTATCAACCGATCCAAACTGATTCAAACCGTGGTGATTGAACTGAAAAATTGATAACCAAATTAACCAAAGGTTGAAACATCAAAAACTGAAAATAAAAACCGTAAATTTTAATTGGATTGGATCGGTTTTCGGTCTGGTTGGTGAAAACTGATCCAATTCAAACCGGTCCAATATATATTAATCCCCTCTACCTACTTGGCCTATTCCCTAGTCATAGTCCAAATAATTCTAAACCCAAGACCCATTAACCCATCAACTAAACCTAAGAAAATTTATTGGTACATTCTAGCAAGTTTATGTTACTACTATCATTGTGATTTCAACCTTTGGATAGAATACTATAAAAATATGAATTTTTTGCTACATAAATATAGCATTTGAATTGAGTTAAGGATTTTTTTTATTTAGTTTTATAATTTTCACTTGAATGTGATACTACTATAAAAAAAACTTATATGTCAAAATCTAAAATAAAAAACTGTTTTAAGATCTCTCTGTATTAGTAATTGAGATTAATTTTCCTTGCTTTGTATTGTCTAATTTTCCTTCTTATCCAACATGTGATAGATACTTGAAACCGAGTTTATCCAGTTTCAACTTTTTTGTTGCACTATATTGAAAATTAGATTATCGTTTAATAATACTTCTAGATTGCACAATAATCATTATTCAAACTTTACAAAGCCAATATATAATACCCCTAACCCGTTTAATTAGAAAATGGCATGTGATTAAATATTTAATCATGCATAAATGAGTTAAATTAAGTAAAAGACCTAATTAAATAAATTAGGGTTACTTTCGAGGTAAAAAGTACAGTCAGTGATATTTTTGTGGTAAAAATGTGTGTAAGAAAAATTACTCAGAATGCAAAAGTAAATTTAGAAATATGACTGGAAAAATATTCTAATTCATTGGGTAAAGTTTGGTATTGAATGAAGGTGTGTAAATAGATAAGTGGTTACCCAGTTAAAGTAACTTAGCCTATTTAACTTTTTGGACACCGTAACACTCCCTATTTCTTCTTCCACTCCCGTGAGCGCCTCTATCTTTCTTTCTCCACGGAAGGAGCTTAAGGGTTCCATTTTCTTTCCTTTGATTTCTCACTCTACAAGCATCCAAATCATTAAGTGCATTAGACGAAATTCATAGTAAATCACCCCAGGAATCCATTACACCACTTTGTTTGGGCTAAAATTGCTTGTGGGAAGAGTTCTTCCTCATCTCAAATTCGGATCACTATTCATCAAGGAGAGGAATTGTGAATTTTCATGGAGCTTTGCTTGGAGGTTGTTCTCTAGGCTTGGTATAAGGGATTTGAGGTGAGAAATCTCTATTTCCATGGTTTGATCTTTGTGATTTAAGTCTTGAAAGTTTGAAGCATGTTTGGGTGGGAAATGTTGAGTTTGAAATTAGAAATTTGTGATGAATTAGTGTTGTATAGTAAGTTGTAATGTAGAATAACCATGAACATGTGTTTAAAAAAATTAAGAAAAATTTCCCTTGAACCACACTAGAATTCGGCCATGATAGGTATTTAGGGTTTGATGTGCAAAAATTTTATTTGCATGAATCGTGAAGGTTTGAATATTGGTGTATGTTGAGATTAAGTGTGAAAGTGAGATTACCTTGTGGAAAATCCATTGGAAACCTTCCCTATGCATTTCGGCCAATAGGGTATTATTAGGAAAAATTATGTTAAAATTATGTTGATGATGCATTTAAGTCCTAATGCATGGTTTTAGTATGATTTGGAAGTTAAATGGTTTAAGACAAAATGAGATGCACCTTAGCTCCTTTGTACGAGTTGCCATGACCTTGTGAACAAAAAATTAGGCAAAGTTAAGCTTAAAATTGTTATGAGAATAGTTGAATAATTTAGGGGCTATGTGTGAATTCTAGGAACTTTGAGTTGTATCTATTGATTTGATGCAAAAAAAATCCTAGTTTTCCTAGATGCTGGTTCGACCATTTAAGTTTTTATGGGGGGCTTGAAATTGTTAAAAATTATAAATGGTATTTAGAAGCTTGATTGGGTTATTTTAGGACCCTACATGAATAAGAAACGATGAGGGTGCTTGTGGTTCATTAAATCATCCTTAAAATGGTCTAATAAAGAAATGGAGAAAATATGGTCTTGACTTGTGTATTGGCATAGATTTTGCAAAAGTGTAAAAAATGAAAGTAAGCAATAAAATGTATGCCTCATGTAGATTTCATGGCATTGTAGCATTTTATTGATTTTATTTTGAATTTTTTCTCTAGGTGTGCCTTAGGGACTGAGAGGGTTTGAATTGCCTTTGGAGCTAAATAGGTAACTTGTATTACAAGTAAGCAGATTGGTATAGCTTCAAGAGGTAAGCTCTATGTTTAAGGAGTCTTTTCCTGCATGAGTGCTCCACCATGGTTAGTGAACTATGGTTGGATAGTATGATTGTTTTGATGCTTTGTATAGATGCATTAATATAGAACTATTTGATAATATGATATGTTTTGTTCTGATATGATTTCTGTAATGATCTTTGGCCTTTGATTATATTGTACACTGATGTCCGCTTGGGGTCCTCCCTCGGGACTGACGGTGTACGCCTCTAATATGTCTGGTCTTGGGGTCCTCCCTTGGGAACATATGCGTTGATTTTTGCTTGGGGTCCTCATTTAGGAATGAATGCGTACGCCTATGATAAGATATGTATATATGTTTTGTTTAGTGATGATATCTGTTATATGTTGCTTTGTAGACTCTGTATCTGACTTTCATGCAGGAGTTGGCCCATGGGTATGGAGAATTCTCTATAAACCTGCAGCTTATTGAGATTTGTTATCTCACCTCTTTCTGGGTTATCATTTCAGGTTCTCAGATTCCCGGTGAGCCC